TCCATCTGCATCAAGTTACCTCGACGTCGTAGCTGGTCATGTCAACCAACGCTGTCCATGTAATGCTGGTATTCTGCAACCAGGCCAGGGCATGGTACAACACTGGGGCCACTCCCTTTTGTAGTCGCACTGTCGTTGACTCTGCGGTCACTTGCGAAGCTAGAATGTACACGATCGTATTGTCAGGCCACATCACACCGATAAGTCCGGGATTGGACTTTGCCACGTCCATCCTGAACGTTCCCCATGGTGTCTGTGCTTGCCGCTTCTTCTTAGGATAGATCAACGCGTCACACCAGCCCTTTTGCATGATATTTCTTGTCTCGAGATAGTTGAATCCCATGGTTCGTAATTGCTGTGCCAAAGCTATAGAGATGTAGTGGCGGTCTCTACTGACTAGATGACGCCCTTTATATGGCAGTTCACGAAACATGCAGGCGATATTGCGAATGCGGGGCCATACTTTGTGTCTACAGATTGAGTCCCCTCTGCGTCTTTAGCTTTTGCAATATCTAACTCGATTCTCAGCATAACAAACTGAACAATGATTTCCATGTCAGCATATCCATATCTACGTGTGACGGTCTTGTCAGTATACCAACCTTTTGCAGTCTCCGCGCAGCTAGTCATCACACACTTTGATCCGCAGCGGTGTGACTTGTCTTTTATAAAGGCTCTCGTGGGTTTCGCTGGTTGTGAGAGGGGAGAATACCCTCATCAATTACCACACGAGATCCCAGTAAGTATCCTTCTTTGAAGGTCTTCGCCAGTACCGATATCACCGAGCGAGTTTTCCAAGCTCAATCCTTTACTGCGGCAGGGTCCTTGTTGTCCGTAAAGCGAAGAAATATCGTGGTTTCGCGGAAGCAATCGCGAGGCTTGACAAAAGCAAAAGCGACAGCTGGCAATACCCCCAATATCGTCCTTGTACCAATGTTAATCCATGCGCTTACATGGCCGTAAGCATCAAGCCAATCCAATGTATAACTTCCTGTGGAAAACCTTTAAAATTTTTGACGTTTCTCCACTAATGCAGCTCTACTACGAGGTGGGCTTCGTGACCGTGGCTTCTTTTCCTCGGTTTGCCGCAGTTTTGATTCTAGCTTTTGCTTCCAGTAGAGGTTAGTTTGGGTTGCTATCTGTCGGCAGAAAGATTTGGCAAGAAGTAGTAGAAGATCTTAAGCGGCAACTTTGATGCTGGGATGATATCTTGCGAAGGCCCATAGTCGCTACATTGTCAACGTCTGGATTGTGCACGACGTCGGCTTCGACGTCGTCGGGCAACACAACCCAGCCGTTGATCTTACTTTGATCCAGTTGCTCAACCTCTGATGATTCTGTCAGCAGCAATCGAATGGTATCATATTCTTGTCGATGTAACACTAAAAATTCGTTTACCTTGAATGCAAAAATGCAATCGATCTCACTCTACTGTATTTATTAACTCTGCTAACCGCCGAACGTCGCGCTGTAGCATGTCGGAATTGCACTTTTTGCGTAGCTCACATCGATCTCGCTGTCGTCTTCAGAGTCAGCTTCTGTCGTGGCTTCATCAACCTCACCATTCGTATCCAGCTTGGTTCCACCAGCTGCGGTGGCAAAATTCGAATCGAAGCGGTGAATTACCACCAAAAGAGCGGAGAAGTTGGTTGGGTTCTTCAATATGTTCTTGCCACTAGACGCTTTCTTTTAGCTCTTCGTCAGTCCCGTCATTTTCCGCATCGTCGCTTTTCTTTTCGTTTTCAGGACTATAATTTTCGTCTGCTAAGTCGTCCTTAGAGGCAACGCTATCGTCCTCGTTGATATGCGACTCGGTCTCATCACCGATGGCTACACCAGCATTTCTGGTCTCGCCTGTTCTGCAGCGTCCGTGTCAGCATTGGTGACATGTTCATTACCATCAACATCAGCATAATACTCGACAGGGGCGTCCGCGTCATCATTACCTCCAATAAAAAAAACATTTATTGCGAGCATGCGTACTTGTCAGCGCAGTGAACTGGTTTTATATATTCCACGATATGGGAGGTCATAGCTTGAGCCTCGGCTCTGCACTCGGGAAGTTCAAGGAGGTCTCATATGTTTTCCGCCACTTGCTTCACGTTCATAGCATTAGAACAGGTTAGGCTTCGCACACACTATTAGCATCAAACTCGCAACCACCCGAGCTGTTTTGGTGTCCTCAAACTCCGTCAAAAACCACCATCTCCCGGCGACGAGCACTCGTTTCTTCAGCTGGTTGCTTCTTAGTCTTCTTCTTCGTCTGCTTCTTAGACGACGCTTCAGCAAGAAACTTCGCGGGTACAACTGGTATCACACTCTTTTGGACGGGCGCCTTTCTGGCCGTTGATTGCCCACGGTAGTGCCCAGGTGGAGTGCTGTCGTCAGAAGGCCCCACAACTAGTGCAAGGCAACAGCAGTTAGCCATAAATCAGTGCACATGCATACATCGTAGTTGCAGACGTTCTTGTCCTTCTGGGCGAACTGTAACATTTGAGATCTGGAGCCTCGCGCAAAGCTCATTTTCTGATCGCACATAATCCAACAATGCGTATTTCCGATGAATAATCGATGCCCTGCTTTCCCTGTCGCACTTGGCCCCGGGTTAACGTGTTGTTGCAGAGATTAGACAGCAAACATTATTAAAAGCGCCTGTACCAAGATAAGCATTTACTCTATTTGAAGGTCAGTCGCTGCTTTCCACGTCCATTTCTCCTTCCTCAGCAACGACAAAATCGCCTTTAAATCCATGTCACCACCTGCTTCCCACCCGGCAAATATCGCTAATGACTGGCGTTGAGGTGGAGTGGCGAAGGGGAACCGATATTTGCCATTGTTTCCAAATTCTGAAGACTCGTCCTTGTCCTGGGCACCTACCGCTTTTTAATCAATGTGGTTTCAAAGCTAATCGGAATCGTGGCCTAATCAAATGCGTTCAACTTACCGGAAGGGACGAAGAAGAGCGTTTACAGATTTATAAACATTGTGAAATCAAGATATTCTTATGCTGTTCTGAACAGCATAAGAAGATTTTTACACCCTCCGCGGACAAGGGGGTCAACAGCTACTATGGCAACTGCGTTAACTCACCGATGTATCGAAAGAACTTCTGTAGTTATGCGTCCGAATTATCGTACAATTAACCGCCTCGT